AGTAGGGAAAGTCTTGTCATCTGGGTAAGTCTTCATAAGCTCTATAAAAATCATCAGTTCCCACACCTTGTCTCTAATCTTGTGCAGTCAATAAACTAGATATCCTTTAAATCTGTTTAGATATTAACTTAGAAAGGTTTCTGAGAACTTCTATACTGAAATAAAACTCTTATTTTCTATAGAAAAACTATCAAAAACTCTTATAAACTAGTATCTCAAGATAGATTCCTAGTAGCTTTGAATATTGCTTATGTAGAATTTATAACATGTAGAAGTGAATTAATTGCCTTTCTAGATAAGTGTGATGAACTTCTGTGAGAACACTAACCAATGAGAGTCATTAGGTTGAACACAATTAGATTGTTGGACATCAAGATGTTCATATTTCATAGCTTACAAAACTCCATTAAGGTTGCATACTAATAATTTGGGAAAGACGGAGTCTGATTTAACATGTTGTGCTTTGGTCAGGCCAAACCACTGCTGGATGCAAAATTGATCAAAGAAATGGCAGACCCCAGATTGGAAGAGAATTATGATCCCACAGAAATGAAGTGTGCCATGGCAACGGCTTCCATGTGTATCCACCACATGCCCTCTAAGAGGCCGTACATGAATCAGGTAAACAAATGAGAGTCCTTCTTCTTTCAGCCTAGTCTGTGTTGCCATTTTGTGTCACTATCGCAAGTCAGAAAATGACTTGCCTCATTTCTTTTTTACAAACTTACGTAAAATTCTTTAGATACGATTGAGTTCTATTTCGATAGTATAAACTCACATTTAATACAAATTTTATTAATATATATTTATGCAAGTTAAAACTTCAATTCTAATATGAGAACAGTACCAACTGCGCACTGTACTTAAATTTTTTCAATTTTAACTTAACGACTTGCCTACTTGGAAACAACAGGTTTTACAGCTACTGAAAGGCGAAGAGGTGTCTATTGAACTCAATCAAAACTCAAATGCTCCAAGATCACTTTTGTTAGATGCATGTGACCTGGAAGATTACACTTGCTCTAATTATTTGAACGACATCAATCGCCACAAGCAGTTAATCATGGAGTGATGCATTATGGGAGCTTCGTGTTTTTCTTCCTTTATCTATCGAAAATTATGGAGTAATAGTAGCGGTGTTAGTGTGTGTGCGTGAGTGAAGCTGACAAAGTCACAAGCTCCTTTCCTTCTTCAAGCTTGGCAAGATATTTTAGGGTTGTAAATTGACATGAACTTGTACCGAGAATCATTAGGCATATATGAAGCAACTATGCTTGACAAACAATAAGGACTTAAGGCCTTTAAACAACTAATTGTTTTTCAACAAACAATCTATTGTATAAATCTTGCACCAGAGAGCGTCTGCACCTTTTGGATTCTGTAGTGACTAGTGCCACTCAAACAATTTCATACCAAAATCATCCAACTGACTATCAAATGCGTTTGTTTTCAAACAACCAAGTGTTTGAATAAACTATTGCAGAAAAAAAATTCTTAAAAAAATAATATAGAAAGAATTTTATATCTTATTGTGTTTGGATCTACAAATACCTCTCTTTGTAAAGAGTTTGTTGAAACTATGCAAGGAAAATTTGAAATGTCAATGATGGGAGAACTTACTTTCTTTTTGGGATTACAAATCAAACAAATGCATGATGGAACTTTCATAAGTCAAAGCAAGTATTGCAATGAAATTTTGAAAAAGTTTGGTATGGAAGGGTGTAAGGAGGTTGCCACACCAATATCAAACAATTACAATCTTGACTTAGATGAGAAATGAATTGCTATTGATAACTCGAAATATAGAGGCATTATAGGATCACTCTTGTACTTGACAGCAAGTAGGCCTGATATAATGTTTGTCGTGTGCCTATGTGCAAGATTCCAAGCTAATCCTAAAGAATCTCATATGAAAAGTGTGAAGAGAATCCTTAAGTATTTGAAAGGTACAACTAATGTTGGATTGTGGTATCCAAAAAGAGTCTCACTTAGTCTGATAGGCTACTCAGATTCAGACTATGCTGGGTGTAGGCTAGATAGAAAGAGCACAAGTGGAACTTGTTACTTATTAGGTAGTGCACTTGTTTCATATGTTAAAAATCTAGTTTCCAAACATATTTTTGCAAGATGGCAAGCATTGTTATCATGTTTCGATTTTGAAATTGAGCATATTAAGGGAGAGGCAAATACGTTACCAGATTACTTAACAAGAGAGTTTTTACAGGCCAATGAGCAAAAGCACTAAAGATCAGTATGGACTGCCTTTCAAGGCACCAAATGACAATACTGTTAAAAAGGAGCAATCCGGAAACTCAATATCGGCCTCGCCGAGCTCTTCAAGAAAGTTACCTCAAACACTCAATACAAAATTACCATCCAAAACTTCAACCTTCTTAGAAGCCATTAATTCCTCATCTCCATTATTATATCACAATAAATTTGACCCAATATCAGCTCTTGAACATGCACCAGAACCCAGTTCAATACCTTCACCAAAACAGTTATCCAAAAATATTACTCATATATCTCACCCAGTAACTACTCCATCAGATTCAAGATCTTATGAGCTCAATTATATTACGAAAGATAATCATATAGATATCTTGCCTGTTGAACCCGAATGGGCAAATCTTTCAAAAGAACAATTAGTCAACATCATTTTCCCAGAAAACACCCATTATCAAAATTTCCTAAAACCAAGACTTTTTTATGAATTTATCCTGGTAGACACCGAATCAATAGATTTATTACATTCCAAAGATAAAGATAATAATATTATCTATTCAAAATCCAAAATCCTCAAAATCATGACTCCAGAAGAATGGGGTCAACCTATTTATCAACCAAAACCATTCTCAAGACAGTTTCAGCCTCAATATTACACTTACTATGATTACACTATGGCATGGACTTACATGTTATTTCTTAAACCAAAGACTCATTCATGGTTCTTCTGGTTCCGCACCTTCTATTTTACAAAAAGATGTTAAAAATCTAGTTTCCAAACATATTTTTGCAAGATGGCAAGCATTGTTATCATGTTTCGATTTTGAAATTGAGCATATTAAGGGAGAGGCAAATACGTTACCAGATTACTTAACAAGAGAGTTTTTATTCAGCAATTTAAAATCTTAATCCAAGACAACTAAACACATATATTATATAAAGTACTAGTTACCTTGCTCTAGAATACTTTTATATAAGTACTTACATTAATTTTCAAAAAGTACTTGCATGAGAAAAAAATTATAAAATAAATTGAATTGCTCGTTAAGTTAAATTTATTTTTTTTAAAAAAAAGAAATTAAACTAAATACAATTAATTCGTTAAAATTATAATGCTAAACATAGCTCATCAGTATGTATATGACACAATAAGTATATGACGTAATATGTAAATGATATGGTGTAAAAAAAACGTGTAAAAAATGTAATTAATATGATAATTAATATTTAATAAAATTTAATTTCAAGTATAGTCTATCTAATCTGTAATTTTTTTCTTGTTTTAATTAGGTGATATTTGTTCCTAACGAAATTTATGATTTAAAAAATGGTAAAAATAATTAAAGAAAAATTTTCATTATCATCTTTTTCATCATCTAAATCACCAAGTCATTTAACTTGTGGTATGTTGATAATTTCGTCACATCTCCTGAGTCTTTATGTAACGACCCGCCATGGTCTCTACACTTAGTGGAATCGCACTACTGCTAGTGAAACTAAGAAAAATATTAAGCTGAATAACTCATCGCCCCTCTTGCTTAAGCTTTGTAAATCAGACCTATCAGGAATTAGGTCAATGTTATACTTGTATCGACGGAGAAAAGCATCGGCTAGCTGTTTCCATGTCTGGATCTTCCCTCCATCCAGCTGCATGTACTAGTTAAGAGCAACATCTGAAAGGCTTTCCTGAAAACAGTATATCAAGAGCTTTTCATTGCCCATGTAGGCTGCCATCTTCCTACAGTACATTGTCAGATGTCCTTTTGGACAACTAGCCCCGGTGTACTTCTGGAAGTCAGGGATTTTGAATTTGGCGGGGAATTGGATGTCCTGCACTAGGCACATATCCGCAGCCTCTTGAATGTCAAAACTATGGCCTTCCACAACTCTCAGTCTTTCTTCCAAGGCGTTCAGATGATCTTTTGAAGCGTCACCAACATTGCTAGTACTATTGTCGTGCTGCAATTTGTTCATGACCTCAAGCATTCTAGCCATTTGTTCCTTGAACTGTCCGAGCTCCTCATTGAGGACACGATTTCTTTCCTCTAGGTCTACCATAGCTTTTATCTTTTGAGCTCTGTAGACCCCTAAAATTGTCCGGGTCGGAAATAATAGAACTGAGCATATTTACACCGTAAGTGAATAATTGGTATCAGAGCCACTGGTACCCTCAATATATATTGATCATAACTAGGAGGCTCTGCCACCTTTCCTTGATCTCGGTATATATTGACTTCATAATTATTTGTTTTAATTCAAGTTTTTGTTCTTAAATTGTTATTCTGTTTTCAATAAGCTTGATATATTGATTTTCTTTGGGGGGGAATAAGAGAAAGAAGTGTAGACTCTTTTGGTGTTCCCGGTAGTAAAACCGTTGGTAAGCCTGTGTGTTAGGTGTTCCCGGTAGTAAAACCGTTGGTAAGCCATGGATAGAGCCCGCACCTATACCTCTACAACCATCAAAGAACCATCAATATTATCAAACTTTATTGAAACAGTTAGCAGTTTAGGCCGCAAAAACAAGAATAAACAAATAGTTATGAGAACTCCATCAACAACAGAAGAAAACCCTAGTACTTCCCAAGATAATTCCCAAACAGAAATCCAAATAGCAGAGATAGAAAACTCTTTACACAACTGGTCTATACCCATAGTTAAAAAATGTGAAGTTTATAAACAACATAGTATATTTTCAACAAACCAAGATGAAATTCATATTTCTGAATATTGTTATCCCGGCACTAAAACCAATAAAATCATTAATTTATTACAGCAAGAAGTCTTAGATGAACATATTAAAAAGGGATATAATTATATACATTTAGGATTAATACAAGTTGCCGCAAAACCTAATTACAGATTAGGAGTAAATAGTCCAATCTTATTACTTTTAAGAGATATCCGTATGAAACAATTTCAAGATTCTATTATAGCAATATTAGAAAGCAATCTTCATGATGGTCCTGCCTTTTTTAACTGCTATCCAAACTTTTCTATGAATATTAGAAACCACAAAACTAGTAACGCATTAAAATTATATGTTAAAATTCCTGACGAAATATTAGATGAAGATTCTGGCCCAATACAACTTATTTTTAGGATATATTACAAAGTAACAAAAATTGATTATAATTATAAAGCCTTACGTTCTTCATCCAAAAATGAAACTATTTTAGTAGAAGCAAATCTTAGGAAATCTTCAATACAAGTACCTAGGCGTCTTAGTCACGCTGAGGTAATTTCAAAAATTCCAGAAGATTGGTTATTAGAAGATATTATAGAAGAACCTAAAATATATAATACTCATGTTAGAGAAATAATTCAAGACGGAACAGATATTAGATTAAGAATGAATAGATCACAATCTTTTAAAAATACTTTACCTCAAATGATTTATAAAGGAACTAATGCGAGACATTCAGTTGACGGCTCCACTATAAATATAGATTTAACCAAGTTAGATATTAATTCCAAAATAGCAAAACCTGTTTATGAAAATATTAAAAAAGATGAAGATAATTTTAACCCTTCTGCTTCAGATTTTAATTCGGTTATAAATACTATTACCAAGCAAGAACCCTTTAAAATTGATAAAGAATGGATCAATCAAGATTTTTTAGCATATTATAATAAAGAATTAAGAAAGTGGTATTTTGAAACCTTTACTAAACAAGAAACAGATAAGTTTAGAAAATTATATTATGCTTATATGGAAGAAAATGAAATTAATATTTATTTTTTTGACTGGTTAAATACACATATTAAAAATAATAATATTAAAATAATAAATCCTATAACAAAAGTAAGTAAAACATGGAAAACAATAGACAATAAAATTATAATATCTGAATATCCACCTATGACTACCGTTAAAATAGATATAGAAAAACAAGAAATAGAAGCAAGTCCTTATAAAACTATTAATGAATCAGAAAAAGATGTTAATAAAAAAGATATTAAAAAGATTCATAATCAATTAAATTTCTCTAATAGCATGTTAGAAACTTTATCAAAACAATTAACTAGGATAGAAGAAAAAGAAATACCTTCTTCAAGTGATAATAGTATAGTTTCAAGTATTCCAAAACCATTAGTAAAACCAATATATCAATTAAATACAAATATAGAATCTTTAAAGCTAGGAAGTGAAAGT